ACCAAGACAAATTAAAAGAAATCATACTTCATTTTATTCATTTAGGATGAAAAGGGGGTGCGTTTACAAAAAGACGGCCAGGTCCTGGCCGAGTACAAACACATAAGAAAAATCACACCCTAAATCTACGCGCTTCGGCTCCTCGGTCCTTTCTGCAAGACGATTAGACGTTTCCCCCCGAGGCAGGACCTTCGCCACCTATGTCGTCATCAGCCACGGCCAGCCTACACCCACGGCCTCACTCCAGGCCGTGGAAAGCGCATGGGCCGTCACTCCGGACACGGATGACCACTGCCATTCTAGCCGTGGTAAGCAGTCGCCATTCCTGCAGTGGCAGCGGCCGTCGTTCAGACCGTGATAACGGCCATCACTCCGGACACGGTAAGCGGTCGTCATTCCGGTTATGGTAGAAACCATCACTTCAGCCTTGGTAAAGGCCGTCGCTCCGGCCATGGGTGTGATCCAAGTATTCGGCCGCACAGAGTCGGCCACGTCGAGGTCATCATCCCAGATCTGCTCGCCCTCATCAAACTGCCAAGTCATCTGGACCAGGCCAAATTGCCCAGTCATGCGACTCAGCATGTTTGGCTCCCTGGTTTGGAGGAAGCTGCAATAAGGATCATTAGGACAGTTGGAAATAAGGGAGGGCGAAGCCCAGGAGTCAAAAAAGGGTTCCAGAGCGATTGAAGCAAGAAAGAGGCTCGCTGGATAATAATTTTAAGTTTGGGGAACGAGGGTGAAGAAACTGGGGAAGGACAGTATGAACCTTCGAAGAAAAAATGAACTCAGGAAGCCTGGGAGTGTGAAGGAAAATGCGAAGGAGTTTGGGTTTTTATACTAGCATTGGAGTTCAAAATGGAGGTTTGGTCTCGAAAGATGAAACGGCCTGACAGCACACTCAGAGCACGCGAAGTTATGACAGTGACCGTCGTTTCATTTGACGAGGCGACGCGATGCCCTGGGCAATGATGGCCTGCGCGACGTGCTTGAGGCATTAAATGCGCGGAATGCGCCGACTGGCCTGCGCATTTAATGCCCCAGTTGTCAATCACTTCAGAAAGGAATGCAAAGGGTCCATCCCTTGGAATCCATTCGGCCCCTACCCATGCCGAGGCCGAAGAATCCAGGGATGTGGGGGCAATGTTTGTGCCTGATAAATCACGGCCATGAACTGGCCGAAGGAGCTCTTTCGCAGAGGCTGAAACGCAGCGTTTCGCCAGGGCATTCCGCCTTCCTTAAAAATAAAAGAGGAAGTGCTAAGGCATGATCATCTCGGCCTCAAGCATAGGCCGAGGCCGAGGCCGAACAAATTTGCGGCCAAGGCATTAAAGGCAAATCATCACGTGACAACAGGGTCCCAGGCTTCATTTAATGAAGTAGTGCATGTTTAATGCAGCAAAACCCATTGGCCACAAAGTAGCATTTAATGCATGAGGGAAGGTGGGAAGTGACTGAACTCAGAATTTGGTGATGAGGATCAGAGTGATTAGACGT